ATTTAAAAAAATAAAAATTGTTTAAAATTTAATTTGGTCTTCCTATGCAGCTCAGGCTGGCCTTGAGCTCACTTTGTAGCCCAGGATGGTCTCCAACTCACAGTGATCATCTTGCCTCAGCTTCCCAAGTATTGGGATTACAGGCCTGCGCTACCATGTCCGGCAAAACTAAACACTAATACGAGATGGTCTGCAAAAAATTAAAGCAAAAGAAAAGAAATAGCTACAGAAGCTGTGAGAACTAGAGCAACATCAGGCACTAACTGGGCAGCAGCATGTTTTTTCTCACACCGAAATTTACAACCCAAGTTCCCATTTCTAAAAGTACAGTTACCTACCTTTAGCAGTTGGAGACAAATGAAATCTTTACTTCTCAAACTCTGGGTTAAGGAAAGACCAGATTCACCTACTTGAATGACTAGGCCGCAGCAAAGCGTCCCAGTCAATGATGAGCACTAGAGACTGAAACAAATCATTATAACCGCCAGTCTCTCACAACCCACCCTACAAGCCAGCTTACCTGGGCAGTGGACTCCGACTCAGAGACCGCTTGCTTAGGAAAGGGCTGCTGGATCGTCTTCGACCATAGGGACTGGGCGACCTCCCACTGTAAGAGCCGCTCCTTTCATAGCTGGACGACCGTCGCCGACTATAGGGACTCACAGACCTCTGTCGTCTACTGTAGGGACTGGGCGACCGTGTGCTGGACTGGTAGGCAGAAGGCTCCTTGTAAGGTGGGCTGACTGACTGCCTTCTTGAGGTACTTCCAGGACTCTTCTTATAGGTGTCATAATTGCTGGAGGTATGAGACCTTGGAGGACTAAGGTCATAATCTTGTCCATAAGAAGCGCCTGAGGGGCTGTCATCTTGTTTGGAGCTGTCAGACCATTTCCTGTGAGGACTCCGGGACCTCCGTTTGGGGCTATCCACCGTTTTGTAACTTTTGGGTGTTTCTCTTTTCCGATGAGTTTTACTCCGGTCCTTGTGTGCAGATTTCAGCTCGCGTTCTTTCCGGGTCTTCTCCTTGTGGAGTTTGGATGACCTCGACTCCTTGCTGCTGCTTTTGGACAGTTGCGCCTTCCCGTAGTCATCGTTCTCCTCATTTGAACGCTTGGAACTTCCTGATGTCCGGCCCTTCACCGTTCCCGACTTGCTGGACACTTCCTGGTTCTTTTCTTTTTCGGCCTGTTTAGTTTTTAGCAACTCTCGGGAACGTCTGTGCTGGTGGTGGCGATGTTTATGCAAGCGGTCACTCCGATCTGTTCCACGACGTTCATCATTTTCCCTCCTGTCTAATTTGAATGCCATGTCGTCAGAGAAAGTGTCTGAATCAGAGCTGATGTCATCGTACTCCACCAAAGGTTTGATAACTGTGCCCAAGGATGCTGCTTCTGGGGTCACCAAGCTCATGTCTTTGGAGTGCTTGGACTTGTGCCGCTTGTGCTTCGACACCAAGCGGTGACGCTCTCTGTTTGAGCTGCCACCTCCCGATGACGGCTGCGAAGTTCCAGAAGCTCCTCCACTCGCGTCCTTCTTGCCCCCATGTCTCTCGGAATTGGGCATTACCTTAGCCCCGACCTGAAGACGGGGAAAAGTTCCCCGGCGCTGCAGGAAGCCGCTCCTCCCGCCCCCGGCCCAACTCCACGCCCCCCGAGCGCCCCTCGCCGGGGCTGGGAGGGAAGGGACTCGCGGCTGGGCTCCTCCCCCTCCCGCCGCCTCGGCGCCCTCCTACATGAGGTGGGGAGAGACGGGGAGAAGGAGACCCGAATTCCTCACGGCGGAGTTGCAGGACCACGTCCTTCCCCACGCGCCGCCGAGCCAGTCTCCTCAGGCCCCTGCTGTCGGGAGCTCGAGGAAGCAGAAAGCCAGCGGCCCTGGGCTGCGGGGCCGACTCCGGCTATGGGGCCCTGTGAGCCCCGCGAGCGCCCTTCCCCTTCCCGGTGGCCAGGTTCAGAGCAGCTTCCTGTCGCCGGAGTCCCGCGGCCTACGTGACTCACGCCCCCTCTGTCCCTCACTCCTGAGGGAGCCTCCTTTTCTAGTCTTGGCGGCCTCACCCCAATACCTCACACACACACACACACACACACAAACACTAGGTTCCTCTCACACTCAGTCACACACTAGATTAAACCGAAACGGCACTTGGAAGGGGGGAGGGGCAAACACAATAAATATCGCGAGATTCTCACAGGATCTCGCGGTATTTTGAGCTCCCATTTCACCTTTCCCTACGGTTGGCTCAAACAACGCGAGAATAGGGCAGGCACAAGTAACGCACTTCGCCAAAATCTCGCGATAAGGTTGTTGCTTCCCAAATTGAGGAAAGGTACTTTGAGACCGAGCTGACCAAAATTTAAAAAGAAAAAAAGGCTTCGAAAACCAAAACATTAGAAAGACAGAAAGAAAGAAAGAAAGAAAGAAAGAAAGAAAGAAAGAAAGAAAGAAAGAAAGAAAGAAAGAAAGAAAGAAAGAAAGAA